CACTCGCACTAGCAGTACTAAAAATACCCTACGCAGGATACTTATTGTCAGGAAATAGATCAAATTTTCTAGACTACGAAGGAAATATTTTATGGTTTTATACTTGTACCAAAAACGTATCACCACTATATGTTTTTGAAGATAAACTTTGTTATAAAAGAATCACTATATTCTATAAAAATAAAGTACATTTTGTCGACACACTTTCAAGACGAACATATTTTTGGGATACCGCAGTCCCATGTGGATCAGAAAATAGCCAATCAATGGGAATATATTCTAAATCAGATATCCAAAATCACATTAGAACACAACAATTTCAAGAATTATTAACACAAATGGACACTATACAAAGACAGTCAATTGACCAGAATTTAAGAAAACTTGCCGAAACCGCAGGATTTGCAGATATTTATACACAAGATTATAGCGGGTGTTTTAAAGACATTAAAGACTACATATATTTAAACGGTGAAAAATGCAGCCCACAGGATATTTCACCTATAAATATTTTCAGTTTTGTCACCCTAAAAAACGAAATTCTAGCTTTTCTAGGATGGCCCTATTACATCTTAGAAAAATTAACTATATTATACGCAATGTTTAACTTTATAGGATTTCTTTTCTCACTCTTAAAAGGAATCTATAACACATGCGCTATACACACACAAGTAAACAGACAAGCAAGTGTAGCACGCATACTGTTGGCAGGATTTTTTGGAGTTTTTCATCATCAATAAACAAAATACTTCTAGATGCACAAATAAAAGAATATAACACGAAAATATCCACTAGACAGAACACTTACGACGAAGAACACAATAATATAGAGATAACACCTACCGCACCACAGTTGCCACCCCTACCACAAAACCATTCGTTATCATTAGTTCCCCGTAATTTCCGAAACCTAGCAATCACAAATAATCCAAATTCTAGACCAAATATACCACAAAGCCCCATCCAACATATAATGACACATCATTCACAAAATGATAATACATACGAATAAATTATAGAACCACCCCACACCACCACTTTTCAGTCTCAAAATAAGGGTTTTTTTAGTCCACGATGAGCCGACAACTTGGATCCCTACATCGCTCAAGTTCCCACCCAGCCAACCTCCAAACTCAAATCCCAATAATCTACTTTTTGCTTTCCCACCACCCGATTTTCCGATTATTAATATATCATCAAGCACGAATTCTGATACTAACTCAGATATTTCAGTTTTATACTCTGTCTCACAATTTAATAACCCTAATTTAGAAACCCCTGACGAATTTGCAGACTCCGAACCATCTCCATTAAATTATACTCAGACCAAATCCTCAGTTTTTTCAAAACCCCCTTTTCAACCAATTCCATCAAATCATTCACTCCCATCCATTTCCACTCCTTCTTAAGCTTCACAAGTGACCCCAACCTATTCTCCACTTCATTCCGACAGATCATATAATAATTCCCCAGATACCCCCCAAATTTCCCAGGATCTCGATAATTTTATTACCCTATAACAACAGTTAATACACCCTAACACCCTCACAATACATCAACTATCATCCACAATAGAATCCTCAAACCCACCTACTCCTACACCCTCCTCAGCTTACACTGCATCATTCACACATTCATCCACATCCACCGAAACACCTAGTAGCACTCACCGAGCTTATCGCACTTTTTAACGAAAATTCCCGAATCACCCATTCCCCCGACCAAACCCGGAACAGCCTGCGAATATATTAATCACCCGCAACACACAAACACGAAAAAAAAAATTTGCAATCACCTTACCCTCAATTCCACAATATACATTAAACACACCTAACGATACTAATGACACACGTAGTTTTGTAGATGAACATGTTTTAATGCCAACACTTCTTTGAACAGCTTATTATCATTTTACTAACCCCCTTTGCCTACCACTAACTAATACTCATGACAGCATAGAAAGAAACAAAGACATGTTATATAGACTCACTACAACACTAACACCTCGACAATTTACTTACGTAGGATATAAAAAATTACTAAAAACATTCACTGCACCCCGAGCTAACAAATTTACAATAGAATATTACGACCATAATCAAGACAATTTTTTAGATGAAGACCGCTTCGCTAACCCGCAATTAACAGAAAAACTTTTCATCAAAACACCATATGTATTTACACTCAATATATTTGATCGAAAATTTGATCACATCATCTCTGAAGCACTAACTGACATGCAAGCTTATGAAAGTTTTAAAGAAAAATTTCAATTATTTTCACTAACCTTTCACTTTCTTTCACCACATCAACGCGATTTGCACTGTTCCCACGATATTATGTTACGCACTAAACAAACCCACACATATACATACTATCGTTTTATACAAAATCATTTTGATTTGCATACCCCATCAAGACAACCTCACCATCGTTTTCAGTTTCCTAACTCAAAGTACACGTCACCATTTTTCCTTAATTTTACATATTGCATCAAAGATACTAACCTCCACGGCATCCTCCGCAACTATGACCCAGTTACCCAAATGTATATATTTTGTCCCATCACGAAGACCTTTAATGCCGAAGAATCCAGACCCTTCCTTATGCCGCATGAATATATCCAGCCTATTGAAATACCAATATTAGAATTCATTCACAATACTAAATACAATCATAAAATATATAACCTCATTCAAAACACACCTTACGAGTTTGCAGTAGGCACTGAAGAACTAAAAACCAATAAAGCACTTCAATTGCTTTGGCCACTGCTACAAACTAAAAACATCATACGCATACTAGCCAAATTACTAACAACATCAGATATGATACACGACATCTTCCCCCACAGCTTTTTCCCAGAAGATTAACAGGTAAGTATAATTTAAAATACTCTTCGCTAATAAATTTAAATTAGAACTAACCATTTTCTATCAATATTTGATTTACATTTCTAGTCTTCACATCACAATCATCCACAAAACAGAAAAGAAAAATAAGAATACAAACTTGATAAATTCTCTTAAAATTCGTTAATTTCTTGCACTAAATAATGTAAAAATAAAAAAATTCATACTAAATGTAGTAATTTTATCTATAAATTATTTCCCCATAAAGCAGTAAACTTAATTACGATGAAAATTTATAATTTTAAATTTCCCCCAAACGCAGTAAAATTCAAATTCTATGCAATAAATTGATAAAATGAGAAAGCAGTACTAATTTTTTCAAATATTTTCATTCACTTGCACAAGAATTCTATCCAAACTCGCACAGCTCGCCCACAAAGAATTGTTTAAATAATGATTTTAAGTTTCAAGTTTTCACACTCAACAACTCTAACACACGATAAAAAGTTTCAAACTTTCCTTTAACCCGGTTGGAAAGGAATTATATACTAAACCAAACTAACCAACGCAGCTTACTAAACACCACAAATCATAAAATAACAGCATGACTAAGAAAAGAAAACCAACGGTACCCAAACCGGATTAACCCAGTTTAAAACTGGATAATTTATTCTTTTGAAGACTATTATAAAGTCTAAGAAAGAAATAATGAAACACAAAAAAGTCGCAAGACAAACCCATACCAAAAACAATTTGATTTTTGAAAAAAGGACACAACCAAAGTAACATAAGAAAGACCAACATAAACCCAACATAAAACGTTATCACATAACAGGACCTCTCAAAGAAACAGCATGAAATCATACTCCCACTCCTGGCCTAACCCACCAGAGACGACGCTCTATAGCCGGCCTAACCCACCGCGCTACATCCACGCTTTGTGACACACACTCCTGTTTTTAATAAGAGGTACTCAAGGGTGATTAACTCTTCAAAATAACCCAACTAAAACAAAACGCTTTTTTTGAAAACGACTAACTAAAATCATGATTAAAAAATTGAATTAACATAATTTTATGAAATGTAAATCAGACTTTGAGGTATATAGATCAATACACAACAACAAAGACGAACATCCAAAGACTAGATGATCCCATCACACTCGAACAAAAGAATGGTAAAGCACAACCGACATGCCGTCCACAATCACAACTCAAAGGATTTAGGGTACGACTTGACTTCGCAGAAAAGGACTTCATTGAACTAGACCAATGACCACCTCGATGTTCAAGTATACGTACAGATCCGAGTTACAAGGCATCCCTGCCACACACGATCTCCACGCCATTCCCAGACGAAGTTGCACACAAAACAAGTTCTCTACATAATACAGAAAAACCCGTCATAGCAAACCATTTTGAAATCGGATTGATTTCATTGGGGATCACAGTCGTTGTCAAAAGATGACGTAATAATTTCCTGTCCATAATTCCAGCCTCCTGGAATTTCCTTATCCAAGAGGAACCGGACAAGAAAATGATGTTCACCAAATACCAACGTTCATCATCCATCCTTCAAATTGCAGAAAGATAATTCTAAAAAACTCTGTAAAACCCGGATGGGTGAAAGCTGAACTAAACTACATTTTATAATTGGATAAATTGGATATTTTACCACTGTAAAATATTTAATATTAACCAATCATAATCCATCTAACTAACAACCCACTTATTTGTAAGTGCTGAAATTACTTGTAATTTCAGCACCAGAGAGATTTGAATTTAACTTAGAAATTAGTTGCCTCTCCAAGAGAACTTCAGCAGTTGCAATAAGCCAGTATACTCTAGATCTACTGAGCCTAGCAGAGACTAGTTAAACACCCTGAGACTAGTAGATATAAGAGTAAGATTAGGATCGGTATTAGACTAAGAAGTTGCACGAATCTATCCGGCCGAAAATAAGATAGCGTGACGAGCAGACGGTGCACCCTATCCGAAATTACTCTATGAGTTAACCAAGAGCAAATTAACTCAATTAATTTTAACTCCAAGTTAGTATCACAGGGGAAAACGTTTGATTAGTGATGAATCTAATCACCGAGAGGTTTATGAAGCGTCCCGCTCTAAAACTGCCCGCGTGGCATCCATCTTCATGCAAGATTTACAACGGATTAAAGACAGTATATTGGTTCTAGATGAAGGTTGACGCTTATTATATGAAAGGAATTTAAATATTTTGTTATGATCTTAACAACGACCCTCACACAAAAAGTTTTTATGAACGGAAAAGTTTCTTGTAATTGTTCGATTTAAGGGTGAAGCTTGTTTTTTTTTGCGGGAGAGTTGCTTTCGGGAGAAGAAATGACATTGTAGCTTGTTCATTTGAGACCACATGCGTTATTCGGCTCCTCGCTCTGCTTCGGATACTTTTTGTGGAACCAATCGCGAAGTTTTTTCCACCTGTTCTGCAGGGGTGCTTTGAAAGGCTTGACAATTGAAACCAGAATAACTGCATTGAAGAAAAAGAAGAAGCTCTGAAAGTAGTTCAGAGCCTCAATCGACATCCGGTATTTGTCAAACTTTATTTCCTCTAATGACATGAAAATAGAATTACTCAACATTTGATATTTGAGCTCGAAGAGAAATAGCAAAAGCTGACCAATACAAGTTGGAAACACAAAAATAGCAAATGCTAGTGACATTAAACCAAAAGCTTTAGCTAGCATTCGTTTTGTCTCCTCTAGCCGTTTGTTGGCAACTCTTTTTACAGCCAGAAGCTCTCGTACCACGAAAAAGTAAAGAATGCCAGAAACAATAGGTGTAATAAGTTTGAGTGTGAACTCGTACATTTTGAAGAAGTCTATCCTGGTCCCATTCTCATTGCCACCTCTATGGAAACATGAATCGCAGTCTCCCCAGATCCCGAAAAACCCATCTCTCTAAAAAAATTTGATCGAAACTCTGCAATTTTGATTTTTCTGTGCTCTTTTGAAATATTGTAATGGCTTTTTAAGCTGATTTTTTCTTGATAAAAATAAGTCACCCGTATTGACAAGAGATGAACTGCAATTTTTTTTTTATAAAGATAATGTGGCAAAAATCTAAGAAAATGATTTGAATTGATCTAAAACCGATTCAGTTTGATCGAAAGCCTAGCTTAAAAATCAGTTTTGATCAATTTCCGAAAACTTCGATTCCATTTTTGACATTAATTTTATAGGGATTTTGGTTGGAATAAGTAGTTTAAATCAGTTCAAATCAATTTCATCCATATTTTGCGTATTCATTCTATATAAACTGTACACATATTATATTCAGATATTCTTGACTATCAAATCTTAAAAAATGTTGGAGTTGAAATTATAATGTAAACATTTCAATTGATATAATGAGTTGACGTTTGGCCTGAAAATAAACTATGAGTATAATAAGAAAACTAAGTTTGCTGCACCAAAAAAGGATAGTTTCAAGTTGAATTTTTTCATCCTATGTTCATTTACCTAACAAAAATGTGCCTAGAAAAATAGGCCTGGAAAATTTGAAAATTTTTTGCGTTATAACCATTTCCCTTGCCGCAGGAAAACTTAGATTTGTAAAATCATAAACACTTTGAGTAAGAAAATTGTTGAGGTTTCGAAACAAAAACAACAGTTAGTTAAAATATTTTTGTCGAACTTTCACGACAGTCACTTCAATTAAACTGATTTTTAGGCAACCGAATTGATATTTTTATGATTAAAACCAAAAAATTGGTTTCGAAACTAATTAAGAACCATGCAGCATGCCCACCGACAACTTTTAACCAAACCTCTGAACCAAATTTTATAGTAGTCGCTTCCCTTAAGTTCTGAAAGTTGTCATGTTTGACGGTGTTAAAAAATGATGATACTCAAGGTAATGATTTTAGTTAGATGCTGATAAAAGAGTTATTTAAACTAAGATTAGTTTAAAAAAAAGTACAACTACGGGTTTCTCTATTATAAAAAAGTAGCAGACTTTCAAACAAAGACTAGATTAAAATACAATAAGATAGTGAGGTTTCTCAGCTAGTTAATGTTAAAACTCAAGTCAAGAAGTTGAAAAAGAATTGGATGTGCTTTTGGCCGGTACCCTTATTTGTGAGTCTATAATTTAAAATAGCACTAGAGGTTTATATGCACGTTTTACATTCTCCTTAACAATTTTCGGAAAACCACCCATGATTGAATAGCTAAAAAAGTATGCAAATACTTTCCATCCAAGCCAGGCGCCTTGGAATTGAAAGATCTAACGTGATAATCACGTATTTCAAATAGAAGAACTAGAACCACAAATCAATTTCCAGTTCAAACGAAAAAACTGAAAAGTTTCTACTAAAGTTGTAAAGAGCCTTTAACGGAGAGAAGAGTTTTTGAGTTTTAGGAGGCATCTCGTTTTGTTGCTCTAAGTTCCGTTCAACGTATGAGTTCTTCTAAGCCCATTGATCACCCCAAGAGGTCCATAGCTTCAAAAATTGAAATCGTGTCCAACCTGTCCAAGGGTGTCAAGAATTGGAGGTTCATTGGGAGTGCCCGTCGGATCATACTGGATGAATTTGATTTTCTTAGACGGCTAGGTTGGGGAGTTTATTGAAAATGACACCATCTTGCCTTCTAGATCTTCTTCTTTTGATTTGTTAAAATCAGGGGTCCAGTGCCTCAACGGCGATGAGCTGGGAGTGGTGAGATCTACAAAAGCAACAGGCAGATTTTCCACCTCAATTGTTACTGCCTCTAAAATTGATAGCACAGGAGTCTTAACGCATTGAGATGAGTGTTCATCGGGTATGTCCTCTGAGTCTCAACTAAACTAGTACAAAATTCTTTCTTCCAACAATGATGGTGGCTGTCTGGTACGGATTGGTTTTGTGTTGTACATAATGCGTGAATCCAATATCTTCCATGGAGGTGGTGATTTCATTGGCGAGGAAGCTTTTCTTTTGGCCATTCCTGTAACTTTCGATTAGATTGGCATTGGATAGGAATTGGTTCAGGCCCAATTTTTTTTACAGTTTTTATTATCCAGGCTTCCTACGACGTTTTTGGTCGTTTGGGAGCTCATACTTTTTTGCTGAATTTCTACATTTTGTTTCCTGTTCTCTATGCGGCAGTGGTCTGTTTCTTTTTGGCTATCTAGTAGGATAGCGGGTGGTATCATAGGTTGCTCGACGCTTCAGTACCTGGTTTTCGGGTTGGCCGGGGTCTAAGGAAAAACCTGATCCATATCGAGCTTCAAGTCATCCGTTCGTGGTTCGTCTTGCTCAATTTCAGTTGATTTTTGAGCTGAAGCTCTTGTGCTAGTACGGGACTTTCTTGAGTAGGCGGCTTTAGATCTGTTAGGAGAATTAAATCACTAGAGTCGTCGTCGGTTATAGTCTCCATTGACATATTGAGATTAGCTTGTACTGTATCAGCATTTTCCGACGTTTGGCCAAAGGGTTGTCCCAAAAGGATCTGTTCACAGTGACTCACCGTACCAATTGGTAATCGTCATGTTTCCTATCTTTTCCTATCTTTACGTATTCGATGCAGTTTTCTCAGTGAAATTGATTTTCACGATAGATTTTTGTCCACCAGATATAAAGTGTCGCCAAGCTCTTCATTGCAAATTGTCTGTTGTCCTCTTCATGAAGTCTGTGAAGCATTGTAGTCCTCAAGCATGCCGGAATGAAGGAAATCAAGGCATCTCTCCGTCGAAATCAAGGCATCTTTCATTGATCTATAAGTTATTAATGAAAGTTTCAAAGTATTTTCCCACCTGTAGTATGTTCTCCTTCCGGTCTTTATCTCTTCTTTTAAAAACTTTCTTTATTACAAGATCTTGTTTTGTAAAAAGCCATCAATTTTGAGTCAGAGATTTCCGGCCGAGAGAATGGAAATATTTTGTGATATATAGACTTGGGACTTTTATCATAAACGCCGATTTGATCTTTGGTTATGCTCATCGGATAACTTGTACTGGTTACAGTAAAAAGGGTTTCATTTACCAGATGATAATCTTGATCTGACTGTGTCTGTTCGATTGAAAATAATTGGTCTGACAACTCTTAATAAATGTTTAAAATGTTGGTAAAATTAACCGTTTGAGAGGATGGAGAGCAGTCTTCTGTACGCGAGTGAAAACTTTGGCACACTGAAATTATAGAATGAGTTAAAATGGTATGCAAAATTTCGGCAGCTCTCTTGTTTTGCTTCTCACGTTCCGTTCCTTGCGTTGCCAGCTTGTTATTCCATTGAATATTTACGTTGCAGTACATTGAATTGTATGACTCCAATTGCTGGGAGAATTTGTCACTGATGGAGAGCGGAGAAATCTTGCCATCAAATTTTCAAAGACGAGAAGAAGACTAATATGGTTTACTGAGGCAATCACAACTTTTTCGTCGTCTTATGAAACGGGTACGGCTTTCACCCGATGGGTTTCTAGATAAGTAATCTACGAATCCAATTTTTATACCCGGGAGATATTCAACGATAAAATTGTGAGGTAGAAGAACTTTATCTGCACAACGGGTAAGGCGTGATTGATCCGACTTCGCGTACTTGTCGTCTTTCAAGGCCCCAATTAATGCTTTTTGGTCCGCAAGAATGGAAAGCTTCTGGCCATTAGGTGGTTTTTAATTTGATCTACTGCCCACAAAACCCAAAAGTTCGAGTTCCTTGGTACTGTATGTCAAGTGGCCTGTAAGAAGTAATCTACTAGCAAATGCTAAAGTTTTCCAAATTCCCGCAGGGTCTTGCCCGAGGAGTGCACCGAAGCCTAACTGGGATGAACTTTTGTTTCAAGCTGGGCGTTACCAGTTTCCTTCTTGATTTTCTCGAACGCCGAGAGGTGCACGTCTGACCATATATTCTGTTTAATTTTTTTTTGCATTGGATCTCTGATCGGTGTCAACAGGGATGCTTAGTTTGGGATAAATTTATTGAATTGGTTGATCGAGACCATTAGAGATCTCATGTTTTCGATAAATTTTGATTCTCTTAAGTTACGGACTGCATCGAAGTTTTGAATCAATAGGGTGGTTCCTGTTGCGTCTATTTTGAATCCCAATCACTCTTCAACATGGGCTTACAACTTAAGTTTTTTCCTTGTAATGGCTAGTCCTTTGTTATTTGAAATTTTACAATGATCGTCAACGCTACCAACTGTAGCGACTAAAATGTCCTCTAAATAACAATGTAACTTCGGTAATTTCTCGGTCAAGCGGTCGATTATTTGTTGAAACTCGTTCAGAATGTCCCCTAGACTGCAAAATCACGTTTTAAACTGATATGAGCAGGTTACGGCTCCTTTCATTATGTTAAACTTACATTGATTACTCGCTTTTCTTGACGAAGAAATTTGGCTGTTTGCATTTTTTAAACCAATAGATAAAAGCCAGATTTTGTTTTTGGTATGACCGCTATTTGTTGAGGCAACATATTGGATTAGCTTAAGAGAATTAAGCATTTGATACCTATTATGAAATGTTTTTTGGCTAGTAGTTTTGAATTCAAAGCTAATTTAATTGATCCGTGGGGTTCTTTATTGAATAGTATTGGGTTGTGCCCTGGCTGTACTTCTGCAAGGTTTGGCAAAGTGCCCTTTGCGGCCGCAGTTTACAGAACTAATTAGAGGATATTTTATAAAGTGTTTTTATATCTTTGTGCCTTTTTTGTTGACTAAAACATAATGCTGATAAAAGAGTTACTTAAGCTAGACTAGCTTAAGACTATGTACAACTACGGGTTTCTCCACTATAAAAACGTAGTAGGCTTTTAAACTTAGACTATATTAAAAGACAAGAAGATAGTGGGGTTAAAACGTAGGTTAAAACTCGGATTAATGTTAAAATAATAAAACTAAAATGCTAAAAGTCAGAATTGGTCCATCCGAAAGAACACTGAACAATAACTGAGAGATCCAAAAGCCGATGTACTTTCGGCATGTACTCTTACTTGCGAATCTTTAACGTAAAACAGCACTAGAGATTAATATGCTCGTTTGACAAACGGAGTTGTCTTCGGTTGCGAGTTGTCGTTCTACCTCTTGATTTTAGCAATAAATTTGAGAAATTTTTGTCTCACAAACCTTTTCGGCCAAACGAACGTCAAGATAAAGCAGAGCAGGGACCAAAACTGTCAAGAAAGCGATTGCCGAGTAGGTCACAACTCTGCGTCGGGTTGTCAGAATTGTTTTTGCATCAGCAAACTTGACCGTGTACACATATCGCTCGTACGCCAGTGCAATCAGGCAGTAACAGTTACTGAAGTAGTTCACGCCCGACAGAATCTCAAGGGGCCAGCGAAGGTCTCCGTAATAAACACGTCTGAAGTTCATCCATTGATAATCCGAAAGCATGTCACATTTCATGAAAATATCCTTAAAGTCGACGCCATACTGAAAAACACGTTTTCTCAGTTTTTGAACTAATTTCGTACAAGCAAAAAAATACAAGCATTGATTTTCAAAACCAGTTCAAAACTCAATATGCCCTGCCAAACTGAAACGAAATATAAAAGGTAAATGTTAATACATCATCATTAATTGAACAACAAAATAAGATATTCATAAAAAATACCGCCGTTCTTTGTTAGCTCAAACACTCTGAATGAGAAATTGTGAATAATCTATTAAGAAATTGAGACAATTTTATTATTTTCTGTGCCAAAAATCTTATGAGACAGCTAGTATCAGGAGAAAGCCTGGTTTTATGTTCGATTTCCCTTTTTGGTAACAAGAGTAAACAATAGTTTTTGGGGAAAAATTAATTACATTTTCGTTAAAGTCATTAAACTTCTGTATCGCTCTAATTTTTTTATGGTTATTCCTTTTAGTTATATTGAACAGTCAGTTCAGCTCTTCGCTCAAGAACCACTCATCAAAAGTATATACCGAGCACTGTTTTTTTAAGATCTCTTAATGTAATTATCACATTATTGATTACCATTATTCTGCAATCATCAAAAATTAGTACTACTTACCAACGGTTTTTTCTCTAAACCAAGAAACTACTAAATAATCATTTTTTCCACTTGTATGTTATGCTGGACAATTGAGTCGAACCAAAATAATCAAATGAAAATTTTTTTGTAAGACAATTCGCAACTTTATTTTTTTAAAGCAAATTTTAGTAGTTCGGAATATGAAAATTTGTTCAGTTCGAATGCTTTAATTCCGAAGCTTTCCTTCAACTCATAAGAAAACAACTGAACAGAAATTGACGGCAGCAATCACTCTCCAGTGCCACTTGTGCAAGGGCAGCTCACATTTTTATATTCCCAATCTATTTCTTTTATCACAATTGCAAGTTTCTTCTCTTGGAGCCCAAGGTCGAAAAACTAGGTATAATCAAAAAATTAAAAACGGCTCACAATGCCACGACATCGAGTTGGATTGATAAAAGAAACCAGAAATTCTAAAGTTAAACCATTCAATATCTTCGGTCACTCTCTTACAGTTTTTGCCTCATTTCCCAGAGGACGTCCTGAGCATACTTAACAACTGGTCCAATTTAACCGAAAACCACGATTAGACCAGCTCAAATATTTTTCGCTTAGGTTTTTTCCTGTTTGAACTCCTCTTCTGAAAAAAGATGAAGCTTTGTGGTACGTTAGTCAAGGCCCTATTGAGCCATCCATTATATGTATGTTTGATATCACTTAAGGTCAAGGTCGAGACAGGTCTCCCGCCAATCACCATTCATGAAGTAACTGAAAAGACCACTCTTTTGATACTGTTGAAAGATTTCAGTTCTCAACGTTTATTCATAATGCAACTGATCATTCGTAACTAATTCTAATTCAACCTTTTGAGACGGTTTTATCCATTAGTTATTAGCAGATAGTTTAGCATTTCACATGGCGCAGCCAGCAGTTTCGACCCACGAGGATTGGACTAACTTTAGGGGTACCTGTATTTTGGTCCAAGCCATCCCCAGACCCACCGTTTTCATGGGAAATCTGGATTGGCTAATTCTTCTTAGCATTTAACCTTCGAGAATATTTTGACCCTAAAGACCTTTTAGCCGATCCCGGCGAGGTATTTGACCGGAAAGACTGGAAAAATTTCCAGAGTCAGAAAACGAAACAGATAGAAATAACAGGATCGGAAGAGACCAAGCGGAAATCAGAAAAGTGAACGAAATAAATATCGAAAGGAGGAAGAAAGGTCCCAAGTTAAGACAAAACATATTTTATCACGAAGCTGATCAGCGAGTCAAATCACGCCTATTCTTTGCACTGGGAACAGAAGGGAAGAAACGATTTCTCCAAAGCTTCGATCACACTATCCTATCCGATAAAAACTTCAAGGAAGTTTTTGCCCAATGTGAAGGTTTAATTTAAAAGGAGAAGAATATCATAGCAGAACTTATGCACTTCTACAACACCAACCAAGCTGAAAGGGAAAGTCATGAATCATTCATCCTAAGACTCTCAGGTCAAGCAGCTTTATACGGGTGTTCAGTCGCAATCGAAAAAGAGGTAGTTCGAGATATATTTATTGCAAAGATTGAGTTCAAGGATATCCAGAGAGAACTTTATATCCACCCGGGAAATTCTCCAGAGGAAACGCTTAGATCCGCACTGTTACAAGAAACAGGATACGCAACAGCTTCTACTCTACAAAAACAAATGATAAACAACTCCAATTAAAATTACACAATCCAGAACTCAAATAACCAATTCAGGGTCAAACAGGAACCTACGCTATCAGTTCAGAAAAAGAACCTACAAAACAGAATAAACCGTGCCAAAAATCAGAAATCTACATTCGGTTAAGCAAACAAACCAACCATTAATCAGAAAGCATGTTATTTCTGCGGCAAAGATTGTCCTATCAATCATAAATCATCATGCCCAGCTAGGGGCGTAATCTGCAAATCATGCAACAAAAAGGGACACTTCGCCAGATGTTGTAATTCCACCAAAAATGTAAACAATGTAGATAAGGAGTCAGATTCTACAGTAGGAGAAGACATCAACTTCATTACGTCGGACAGCGAATCAGAGTTTGGCGTTCTGAAAATTTCAGGACCTAGTCATCAACTCCCTATCTCAAAAGTCTCACCGAGGGAACACTTATTCCCCTCGAAACACATTATATCAGTTTCAAAATTAATCTCAATTAAAAACTGGATGTAACAAACTCACCTTCGGGAAAAATCAACAATCTCCAAGTTACCGTGAGGGTAAATAACTCATTCTTCAAAGCCACTGTCGATACGGGCAGTCCAGCCTCGTTTGTAAATAAGAATACAGCGGACCTCCTTTTAAGGACAAGAAAAAATGTAAAAAAGTACCCTAAATCATCATTTCCCCTTGACATATCTTATGCGGATTATAACCACAAGCCGAACGAATTATTTGGAACCCTAGTAGCAGACATATCATCATTAGGCTGGAAAGTCAAATCAACCAAATTCCTGGTTGATTTTGGTTGTCTGAAAACAGGACAAGATGTCTACTAGGGCTAGATTTACAAGCTGCAATAGGGGTCAAAACAACCCAATAACGCCCTCAGGAAAATTTAGAGGTCGAAGAAAATGACATGGAGGAAACATCCACCCATTGGAAAAATTTTTACTCAAACAAATACAAAGACATCTTCACAAGACTTGGCAGATCAAAAAGTCACCGGGTACACACAGTTTTTAAGCAACCTCTAACTCCAATTCAAGAAAAGGATCGGAGAGTCCCGATTCAAATTCAAGAGAAAGTTGGAGAGGAAATCAAACGTCTCATCAAAGAAGGCTATATAGTCAAATTGAACAAGTGTACCATCAAATTTTTTGTAGCACCTGTGGTTATTACGGCAAAGAAGGATGGTTCAGTGAAAATATCAATGGACGCAAAACTCATGAACGCTCAGATTTTTAAAAACCAATATCAGATGCCAAATCTTTTAGAACAACTGGACGTAGCAGCCCAAACAATCAATTCTAACTTACCGAGTGAAGTACTTTTCACTTCTTTAGATCATAAATTTGCTTTTAGTCAGCTCCAACTAAGTGATTCGGTCAGTAACCACTGTAATTTTAACATTGTATGTGGAGACGCTTAAGGTACTCACCGCTTCAAAGCCGGTTTTTATGGGCTTTCAGACATGCCTAAAGAGCTCCAAAAGGCAATGGACAATACTCTCAGCAATATTCCGGATGTCATTTGCTTTTTAGACGATATCTTAATTGTTACAAAAGGGTCAGCTTCCGACCACAATCTAATTGTAAATAATGTATTCGAAAAACCATACGAAGAAGGTTTCAGTTAAAAAAAAGATCTCATGGCTGGGTTTCGACATCGATCACCTAGGCTATAGACCTAAACGCTCTAATGTCCAAGCCTTTCTAGAACTGAAACCTCCAAGAACTTTTAAGCAACTATGATCCTAAATGGTCGTACTTAACCATGTCCAACGTTTTCGAACTAACCTACAGTTATTTACGGAAAAGTTCCGCCCATCCCTGGCATCATCTAACAAAGAGACATTAATTTGGGATAAGAGCCAACAAGAAGCATTCGAAGCTACATTGAGAATAATTTCGGATATCACCATAATGTACCACTACGTTCCCAAGAGAAAATCAAGAGTCAAATAAGACGCCAGTCACAGTGGGTTAGGAGTGGCCCTAGAACAACAACTCACGGAGGACACTTGGGTACCGATATCATTTGCATCTAGATTCCTCAATGTTCAAGAAAAGAAATACAGCACCAACAAACTCGAATTATTAGCAATAGTTTGGTCCTGTGAACACTTTAGGAATTGTCTTCTGGGCAACAGCTTTGAATTACTTACTGATCATAAAGCAATAATATCGGCTCTGAAAACTAATTGTGGAAACAAATCTTATCAATCAAGATTAACCAGGTGGGCAGATGGACTCCTACTTTTTAACTTTGACATATCTCTATCTCCGGATCAAAACTAGGAATCGTGGATTATCTATCCCGTTATCCAATTTTTGAAGTACCGGACCCTTCTAACTTTGACGAGTAGTTTGTGGTCAAATCGATTAATAAATTCTTCTCACCTTGCGACACTATAGAAAAATTATGGATGGAAGAAATTTACGATATGGAAATATCCCACCCATACCCACCAGTTGTCAACACAAACCAGGCAGATAAGGACTTACTGACCGACAAAACCATAGATTTAGAAAGCAAGGAGAATCGGGTTACCAAATTCATTGAAAATACTGCCAGATCAACACAAGAAAGGCGACAAAATTTTGCTAGATCCGATCAATCACTCAGATTGCCCTAACCTAATTTATGCACGAACGGTAGAGGGTGACCGATCATGTACGTACTTTACATCCAAAATAGAGGCAACTATGCAAATATTTGATGATAATCACTCTATCAACCAATCAAATCACTCCAATGTAATTTATG